GTCCCTCAGGGCCCTGCTGTTTCGCTGTTTCGCATGCGCCCGGCAAAGGTGGCAGTCGGCAGCTTCCAGAGCTACTTTGCTAAGGGCTTCAGAAAGCAACGGATGCGCCGTTTGTGAGCTGCGGCGGCTGGAAGACAGCTAGATTTTCTTGTAGGGTCAGAAAGTGACGTTAGGCAGTGGAGGCCGTTGCCCGGAGGCCCGGTCCGTCCCTCAGGGCCCTGCTGTTTCGCTGTTTCGCATGCGTCCGGCAAAGGTGGCAGTCGGCAGCTTCCAGAGCTACTTTTCTAAAGGCTTCAGAATGCAACGGATGCGCCGTTTGGAGCTGCGGCGCATGGGCCTGGAAGAAGGACAGCTGAGGATTGTCTTGTAGGGTTCAGAAAGTGGAAGTTAGGCACTGGGGTGGGGGCCGTTGCCCGGAGGCCCGGGTCCGTCCCTAGGGCCTGGCCCGCGGTTTCGCTGTTTTAGGCATGCGCCCGGCAAAGGTGGCAGCCGGCAGCTTCCAGAGTAGTTTCTTACGCCCGGCAAAGGTGGCAGTCGGTAGCTTCCAGAGCTACTTTTCTAAGGGCTTCAGAAAGCAACGGATGCGCCGTTTGTGAGCTGCGGCGGCTGGAAGACAGCTAGATTTTCTTGTAGGGTCAGAAAGTGACGTTAGGCACTGGGGGCCGTTGCCCGGAGGCCCGGTCCGTCCCTCAGGGCTCTGCTGTTTCACTGTTTCGCATGCGCCCGGCAAAGGTGGCAGCCGGCAGCTTGCAGAGCTACTTTTCTAAGGGCTTCAGAAAGCAACGGATGCGCCGTTTGTGAGCTGCGGCGGCTGGAAGAGAGCTAGATTTTCTTGTAGGGTCAGAAAGTGACGTTAGGCACTGGGGGCCGTTGCCCGGAGGCCCGGTCAGTCCCTCAGGGCCCTGCTGTTTCGCTGTTTCGGATGCGCCCGGCAAAGGTGGCAGCCGGCAGCTTCCAGAGCTAGTTTTCTAAGGGCTTCAGAAAGCAACGTTAGGCAGTGGCGCCTGGCCTTGGGACACGCGGTTGGGACCAGCAGGCCCTGCTGTTTCGCTGTTTCGCATGGGCCCGGCAAAGGTGGCAGCCGGCAGCTTCCAGAGCTACTTTTCTGAGGGCTTCGGAAAGCAACGTTAGGCAGTGGCGCCTGGCCTTGGGACACGCGGTTGGGACCAGCAGGCCCTGCTGTTTCGCTGTTTCGCATGCGCCCGGCAAAGGTGGCAGCCGGCAGCTTCCAGAGCTACTTTTCTAAGGGCTTCAGAAAGCAACGTTAGGCAGTGGCGCCTGGCCTTGGGACACACGGTTGGGACCAGCAGGCCCTGCTGTTTCGCTGTTTCGCATGCGCCCGGCAAAGGTGGCAGCCGGCAGCTTCCAGAGCTGCTTTCCTAAGGGCTTCGGAAAGCAACGTTAGGCAGTGGCGCCTGGCCTTGGGACACGCGGTTGGGACCAGCAGGCCCTGCTGTTTCGCTGTTTCGCATGCGCCCGGCAAAGGTGGCAGCCGGCAGCTTCCAGAGCTATACTTTTCTAAGGGCTTCAGAAAGCAACGTTAGGCAGTGGCGCCTGGCCTTGGGACACGCGGTTGGGACCAGCAGGCCCTGCTGTTGCGCTGTTTCGCATGCGCCCGGCAAAGGTGGCAGCCGGCAGCTTCCAGAGCTGGTTTTCTAAGGGCTTCAGAAAGCCACGTTAGGCACTGGCGCCTGGCCTTGGGACACGCGGTTGGGACCAGCAGGCCCTGCTGTTTCGCTGTTTCGCATGCGCCCGGCAAAGGTGGCAGTCGGCAGCTTCCAGAGCTACTTTTCTAAGGGCTTCAGAAAGCAACGGATGCGCCGTTTGTGAGCTGCGGCGGCTGGAAGACAGTTAGATTTTCTTGTAGGGTCAGAAAGTGACGTTAGGCACTGGGGGCCGTTGCCCGGAGGCCCGGTCCGTCCCTCAGGGCCCTGCTGTTTCGCTGTTTCGGATGCGCCCGGCAAAGGTGGCAGCCGGCAGCTTCCAGAGCTAGTTTTCTAAGGGCTTCAGAAAGCAACGTTAGGCAGTGGCGCCTGGCCTTGGGACACGCGGTTGGGACCAGCAGGCCCTGCTGTTTCGCTGTTTCGCATGCGCCCGGCAAAGGTGGCATTCGGCAGCTTCCAGAGCTACTTTTCTAAGGGCTTCAGAAAGCAACGGATGCGCCGTTTGTGAGCCGCGGCGGCTGGAAGACAGCTAGATTTTCTTGTAGGGTCAGAAAGCGACGTTAGGCACTGGGGGCCGTTGCCCGGAGGCCCGGTCCGTCCCTCAGGGCCCTGCTGTTTCGCTGTTTCGGATGCGCCCGGCAAAGGTGGCAGCCGGCAGCTTCCAGAGCTAGTTTTCTAAGGGCTTCAGAAAGCAACGTTAGGCAGTGGCGCCTATTCATATTTCACCAACCTGAAAAGAGTTGAATTTTAGGCTTCCCTTTGCCAAACTTTACCGTGACCAACCAATGGCCCAACCAACCAATGATGTAGTCCTCATCCATCTCTTCACTAAACATCGGCATAGCGCGCCGCGATTTGGTTTCAATCGTCAGCAAGGCCCACTTGTTGAGCCACACCCCAAACCGCCATCATAGCGAATTCAGATAGATGATGAATCATCGAATTGAATGGCAATCCAATATATATTTAGTCACTATCATCGAATAGTCTCCAATAGTAACAATAGCCTCTATATCTTCTTTCTTCTCCTCTCATTGGATCAGGGAGGTGCGGCAAAACAAGGTAGAATGGGTAGAACACATGCTTGTCATTGCTATATATATATATATATATATCATGTCCTCGCATGTCTACCACAGCACATCTGTCCTGGGAGCTCCCGGTCGAACGTCCAAAGAAGCGCATCATTGAGACAAAATGGCAGTTGGCCCGTTGGCCCCCAACCAGGGCGAGGAGTGAGCCAGAGGAAAACATCAAGCTCGAATCTGGGGTCGGCGGCAGGGGGCGTAAGCCCTTTAATTATGTGCATATACATTCATATCTATATATATTGTATAATATTATAGAGTCTAGACATGTGAATATACAATATATAATATATATATATATATATATATACATATATGTATATGAATATAATCAATAATATAGATGTGTACATGTCGTACGATTTTTCATTTCTAATTCTATTATATTATATTTATATATTTATATTTATATTAGGATTCCAAGTTGCGTTGAAAATCCATCTGGAAGTAGAAATGTGATGACCAAAGGAGTGCTGATGAAACCAGGGTCTTCACCTCAGCTCATGCGCCGCTGGAATCAATACCGAAACAACGGCCCCATATTTTCGGGTCTTACCTTCCAGTAAACTAAGAGTTTGCTATGGAAACTCATCATTTAATCATATTTAATCGGTAAATCATTAAATCAATTGAAATCATAAATGATGAGTGGTAAATTCCTGGTAAATCATTTAAATCATCTATAACTGGTGGATTTTCTACAACGATCTTCGTTTACATCGTAGGCTTTTCACATCCACATATCGCAAAAAAAAACATAAACATCTTGATGGATTGATACACATCCCGGCAGCCCATTCTTCGGGGAATCATGTTACCCTCTGGTAAACTAACAGTTTGCTATTGAAAATTGCCATAGAAAAAGTGGATTTACCCAGCTACAAAATGGTGATTTTCATTGATGTTCCATGGTTTTTTCTATGTTTACCAGAGGCTAATGATGTGAAAATATCATGTTAATCATATCCAACGAACTTGACCAACTGCCAACTGTAATTGATATTTCTATTGACCAATCAATCAATTCTCCAATTGATGGTTAAATGGATGCGACTCAGCACACATTGGTATGTACATGTATGTACCAACGTTGCAAGCCATGGATGTCATGGATGTCATGCCTTGCCTTTTTTGATGCCTGGTTGCGCATGGCAACCTCTGCGATCATTGTCTCATGATCGACATCTTCATTCACTTTCTCTTCCGCACAGCAAATGGCCACGTTTCCCATCGCGCCGAGCGGAGCGGCAACGTTTTTTGTTCAGCGTGTTTCGCAAAAGGATGTTTGGTCATTTCTGAAATGGATAATGGTTGATAAGACCTGATTCTTGATAGATTATGAATAAGTATGAATAGATTAAAGAATAGATTATGAATTCTAAACTGCAATAGATTAGTTTGAATAGATTATGAATGGCAATGGACAACTCAAACATTCCGTCGGAATGCTGTGAGGGGCGTACTCGTGATTTAACAAATGTGCTCAGCAAATCTCACCAAAATTGATCGTGATTGAACATATCACAATGTATCACATATCTTTTAAAAAATATCCTTGAAACCTTTCAATGCAGCCGGCACGCGCTGTGGTTGAAAAAAACATACTACAAGCAGCTGTGTCCAGGTGACATCGTTTAACAAAAATGAAGCAAAATCAGCACAGAACTCCTGGGTCATTGGCAAGGCTTCAGCTGGCCATACAATTTCCAAGCTGTAAGCACCTCGCGACAGCTGAGGCCCTGAACTGTGAATGGAAATGAACAGCAGGGCAAGGGTACAAGTGGCACAAGTCCAAAATCATTCCTATAGCTGCCACACCCAAGATTTGAAGACATTAGATCAGTTGACTCTAATCTCATAATTATTATAATTAAATATATTTAAATATAATATATATATATAAGTATAAGATCATAAGTGACATACTTAGAGTCTGTTCCAAACAGTCAGTTTTGTTGCTACAGGACTCAAGGTAGCCGACATGCCGATAATTGGTGGAGCTTCTGGGCACCATCTCTGGCGCCTTGGCGTACTCGCAAAGTCTCACGGAGGCCTCACTGCCGTAGCCGTACGGCTGCAACGTTGCACTGGAAACATTAAAAGCATGTAACAAATGCAAACAGAATTCCTAGAATTGCTGATGATATGCTGGGCCAATCATGACAGCTTTGCAGATCGCAGGATGTTTTTTCGGATGTTTGGAGGACGTCGCAGTCGAGGTCCGCACTTCCAACTTTGGTGTCCAGGCTCAACTCTTTGTCCGCCGCCAGTGCTTTGACCCCACCTGGCACCTGGCGGCGCTGCGCTTACCGCACTTCGCCGCTGCGCACGGCGACTCGGCACCTCTTCGGCGACGTCAATGCCCAAGTACGCATTGGCCCAACAGCGAAGGACCTGGCTGATGCCATCTCTGTAGATTTTGGGAGAAACACAACACGATTGAGCTGCTGACATCACTGAGCCTTCGAGCATTCTTAAAGGCAACCTGATGGCAGCCAGCGGCACAAATGGGGAACGAACGGGTGCCGGTGGACGCAGGAGACCACACACCGGCCTTCCAATTGGGGAAGGACCGTCCCGGAGCATTCGCGTTGACGGACAGCAACGTGACTGGCACGTTGAGCGGCAGGACCCTTTCTCTTTTGCTAAAAGAATTCTAAAAGGCAGTCAACACTCCACAAAGCCCATTTCTCGTTCGGGGAACCTGCTCTTGGGGCTCTTGGGTGGAACTTTGTCCTCCAATTAGCGCTGTGAAACTGTGTGCCATCAAAACACTCCAGTGAATCAGAAACTACAACTACACAGGCAGTTGATTGAACCTGTTGAAAAGGCAGCAAGCACAAAGTTTCCGCCAGATTGTCTATCCTCTGAGTCTTCTCCAATCAAGACTTTGCTTGCTGGAGTAGCGCCGAAGCATGATCGACCGTCAAAACAATCGCTGGCAGGTTTGCTGCCATGGAAAATTGGACATGCCGTGTCAATGTGAGTATTTTGAATCACAGGCAAAAAGTCAAGAATAAAGGACAAACAGTGACTACAAAAAAGGGACAGATGTTGCCTCCGGGGATTTACGTGACTAAACCATGTGCAAATGATCCAAACTTTAAGTCCAAGATTGACTGTACTTAATTATATTACTCAATCATGTTATGTAATGTGATGTGTTTAATGATTGTCGAATCTTGTTTATGTTTGTTTATGTACCTTGGCAATTCCACTTGCTACCAAAACTCAAGTTTCAAATCCCAAGTTTTGGATTCACTTGCAATTTCCCACGGCAATGGTCCTTATTTCGGAGGTCCTACGACACATCTGCATCACATGGATGCCGATTGAGGGCGTGTGGCATTGATGGATATTTTTCCTCGAACCTGAGCCCCGTGGCTGTCTTGTCGTCACAGCAGAATTGGGCAGTATCGAAAGTACTTGTTATTGTATATTGAATCAGTGTATAATTTACTAAGATTATTATGATCCATTATAGATCAAACTACGTTGTAGGGCTTGATCATACCACTTGTTGTGATCCATGATGGGAACCTCCATATAAAAACCAGCCTGTACAATGGCTGATGCTAAGAAATAATTGCAAAAAGGGCATTGCACAATTAAATCTGGTACGCAGGAATCCTTTCAAGACATCAAGAGTGGATAATGCCGATGATGATGATGATGATGATGATGATGATGAGGATGAGGATGATGAGGATGAGGATGAGGATGAGGATGAGGATGACGATGACGATGACGATGACGATGATGATGATGATGATGATGATGATGATGATGATGACGATGACGATAAGGATGATGATGAGGATGAGGATGACGATGACGATGACGATGATGATGATGATGATGAGGAGGATGAGGATGAGGATGAGGATGACGATGACGATGACGATGACGATAACGATGATGATGATGATAACGATGATGATGATGATGATGATGATGATGATGTTAAGGAGGATGAGGATGATGAGGATGAGGATGAGGATGAGGATGATGATCATGATGATGATGATGATGATGATGCCGATGATGATGTCGATGATGATGCCGATGATGATGCCGATGATGATGCCGATGATGATGCCGATGATGATGCCGGTGATGATGCCGGTGATGATGCCGATGATGATGACGATGATGATGATGATGATGATGATGATGATGATGATGATGGTGCTAGTGGCGGCGGTGGCGGTGGTCGACGTAATGGTGATAGTGATGGCGATGGTGGAGATGGTGGCGATGATGATAATGGTGATGGTGATTATGGTGATGATCATCGTGGTGATGATGACCATGGTGGCATGGTGATGATGATCATGATCATGATGATGTTGTTGCGCTGATGGCCGACAAGTGACAATTGGTAGACCCGCTTCATTCGATTGTCGCAATCCGCTGCGCTCAGCTTGTCATTCCAAAAGTCATTGCCAATGCCAGCATCGGTCTCAAGATCGAACTCGTAGTTTCCATTTGTGCAGAAAGTTGCCTCAGAATTCAGTCAAGACATGTCAAGACTTGCCTTTGCAATTCAAGCACCTTTTGCAATACTCTGTCATCTCCACCTTTAATTCTTCAATGCGGTTAATGGGGACATGAATGATATATGATATATGCATCTTGAACTTCTTGAAGGCCTTATAATCAGCAACCAACTGCTTTTTCTATAAAAACTGCTCACTGAACTTCCATGATCTTCCATCTGCCTGCAAGCAACATGGTCCGTAATCCCCGCAAGCTCGTCAAGGAAGACCTGTAGCAACTGGTGGTTTCAAGCCATCCAGAAGCCACATCATTGGGGATCAGCAGTAAACCAAATATGGTTTATAGATCTTTATAGCAACCCACCAAAAGCGCCAAAAGGATAGAAAACATCCAAAAATATCAATGTCGTTTCTATCTTGTTGGGGGGTTACTATAACCATGCACTATCAAAATACCACTTGTCGTCACCAAGGATTTCGATTTGCCACGCACCGACGCACCGGTCACACCTCCCCAGCAAACTGAGCATGCCAAGTACAAGTACTGGTTCCTGCGATGGCGTGATCCATTACTGGCTGGTGACTGCCCACCATCTTGAAAAATATGATGGACGACTCGTCAATGGGAAGGATGATCCCATATCCGATAGGATCTATGTAACTATGTATGGTATATGCTAACATTTGGGGTATATTGATGGTAAATGTTACCATATATGGCATACATGGATCCTATGGGATATATGAAATGGAAAATAAAAAAATGTTTGAAACCACCAACCAGATTACCTGACGATCTACCGACACCGATTGGTTCATGGATGATGGGGGGAAGCCTCTGTTCATCAACCAGGTGGGACCGGGTGGAACATCTATGGCAGCTCGCTGCCATGATAGCAATGAGACTTTGAGACCATCTGCTAAACTACCCTCTGGTAAACGTTTACATAACTATGGAAAGATCCACCATTTTCAATGGGTAGATCCACTATAAATGGACATTTTCAATAGCTATGTTAGTTTACCAGAGGGTAACATGTTTAATAGCTAAATCATCGAACTGATGGGCCAGCTGTAGCTAACTCTCAGTTTACCGGAGGGTAATCGCGACGTGTGACTTTGATCACCAAGTATCCATTGGGGGCATCACAGTTGCCACCTGGCTCGTCTCTTAAGCACTTTGCCGTCGTGCTGTACAGGTCCCTTGAGGGGCATCTGCCCGGCAACGAGTACCACACTGCATCGTGGTAGGCTGCCTGACAGGCAGTCAACATTCACTGACCGCATCTGACCGCATCAGTTCATCACAGTGTTCAGAGCAGACCGAGAGTCATACTCTGCTCTTCTCGCGATCAACGTGAAGACAACCGGGGTTGTAGCCATACCTTCAGTGTCCATGAAAATGAACAGTCCCTCACAGAGTGTGGAAACTCATTGGCCGAAAAATCTACCAGTTATAGATGATCTTTGCGTTTAAACCTCCCTTTTTCAAGGGAGTGTTTTCCAGCCAGCCACCCTTTAGAGTACCAGAGTGTACCCTTGAGAATCCCCTACCAGTTGGGATGATCATCCCATGTCTATGAAACCAGATCATCATTGATGATCACCCCCATTGTCAAAGCACCAACTACTAATAGGTATTTTTCTATCATCATTGATGATATATTCTGGGTAAACTAATGTAAATTATAATATTTCACTAACCTGAAATAACCCCATTTTATGGAATGATTCCCCTGATTAATCATGATTCCAGTGAGGTCGCAGTGAGGTCGTTATAATTTACCTAGATTGATCATATATTCCATTTATATCCCCATTTTATCTCCTCCTGAAATCATCAAATTGCTGGTGACTTTTCCCCATGCAAAAACCAGGGGAAAAACCAGTCCTGGGTTGATCCTCAGCCCATCCAGTTGAAAGATCCAATGATTGGAGCTGATAAAATTATCATCCCAAATTAAATCTGGATATGTCAGCCCCCAATCATTGGATATGTCCCAAATTATCATCCCAAAATAAATATGGTTGTTCATTCATATTTTAGGGTTTCCACAAATGGTGGGAAAACCCATCATCCATGGATGGTTTTGTTGTGGGAAAATCCTATCAAAATGGATGGTTTATAGAGGGTACCCCTGTTTCAGGAAACCTCCCTGGATGTTCATTCCGTTTTTTTGTTCATCATCCCAGTTCCAAATGTTCCAAGCGGCTTGGTCCAGTGACTTCTACTCCAATACTCTTGTGCTTCGCCCTCGGCAAAAAGCAGAATGGCAATCCATGGATGCACAATGGATACAAAATGGCATGCAACATGGTTTAATGATGTTTAATGATTCAAGTTCGATGGCAGAGTTGTTTTGTCAGTGTTTGTTGGTTTTCTTCTGATCGTTGTTTTAGAATGGATAAGAATCGTATGCATTAAACCCTTACCATTCACCAACAATCATACAACATCCACAAAACTGTGAAAGTCTGTGAAGTTCCAACTTTTCTTCCGCAACATCTCTGCCAAGAAACATTGTCAAAATCTGAATAGCCTTGGCGCTCTTTTTCGGGCCATTGCTGTCATTTCATCCAGATTTCCATCACAAGAATCAGCTCTGCCAGCCATCGAGCCACCCATCGACCCATCGACTATTTGATATTAACCACTATTGGGATAATATTACACCATTATTAACCATTTATCATCCCAATATTAACCATTATTAACCAATATTACCCATCAGCCAAGGTTCGGTCAAACATCTTGGCCGTGGCCGCATAGAGCGCGTCGGTGGACTTCACCGTAACAAAGTATCTGCGGATTCCTCGAGGTCGCCAGGCAACAAAACAAACGATTCGGAGACGACTCGTTGAGTCCGAATAGGAATGGTTGAAACATGTTGAAACATGTGAAGCATTAATCACGTTTCTTTATAGAATGCTTCACATGTAAAAAAAACATGTTGAATTGTGGCAACGTGTTTATTTTGGTCAACATGCCTTGGTCTTGTAGTTGTTGGCCTTGGAACCGTTTGTTTCGAGAGATCTCTTCTCAGACTACCAACTGAGGGTGCGTCGGTCAATACCATATCGTCGTGG